CTCTCTCTCTCTCTCTCTCTCGCGGGGCAAATACAAAAAATGGTCCGATATCGCCTCCACCTTTGCAGAAGCCCATGCAGCCTCGACCCTTTTGGCCCAGCGACGATCCCAGCCACGGCACCAGCGCCTGTCGAAACACGGGCGACGAGACATTCCTTTTCTTCGATGAAGAAGAGCTCAGCTTTACCACGAAAACGCTGGACGAGGTGGTGCTGCGAGTGGGTGCAGACCTGGACAGCGCGATGCGTCTGGCCAATCTGAGACTGAGCAGCCAAAAAAAAGTGTGTCGAGAGACGAGAGAGAATTTCGAGGAGCCATCAGCCCCCTCCGTGGAAGAGAAGCCGGACAAGCGTGCGGGCAACACCAAAAAGAAGGATGAGGCCAAACCCAAGCAGAAACCCAAGGAAGGATGAGGCCAAACCCAAGGAGAAACCCAAGGCAAAAGCCAAGGCGAAGGCCGGCCATGTAATCCAAGGGGTCTGTTCTTATTTGATATATCGTGGACTCATTGCATCGCAGAAATTTTACGGATTCTGTCTACTCTATGTAAGCTCCTATATATTATGTAAACTCTTATGGTCTACTGTTGCATCCTTCAGGTGGACAAGTCCATCCACGCTGAGTTGCCACGGCTCTGCGACCTCCAGGAGTTCAAGGAGCAGTGGTGCAAGAATGTCTCCGATGTCATGGGCTACTGCACGACGCTACGTGCCGAGCTCCTGAGATGATGTCCGGTCTGTCTCGAAAGCGGTTTCCCTAGCCATGTTGTGTGGTGCCCTTGTTTGTGGACTTAGGCTGGAAAGCTTCGAATCCCAGGAGGCTTTGATTACGTTGCTGTGTCAGGCCCAGGAAGGCTTGCAAGCACGCCGCAAGCGCATGCTCGCGATCGATGTGCGGAGCGAGACCGCGCGGGACAAGGTGCAAGGAGCCTTGCACACTGCACGAGCATATGTTGAGGCGTATGTGAAGCACAGCAAGACGGCTGGCAGCCTGCTTTCAAGCCAGAAGAGGGAGCTGAAAGCCAAGCAGACGAAAGCTAAGCCAGGCACAGCTGAGCCTCCAGCGGAGGGCCCAGTGCCGGCGCTCGAGTCTGGATCGTGATGTGATTTTCCCTGCAACACAGTGAATCGACTTTGTGACCGGTGACTAAAATGCCTGACCTAAGCCCGTGGGCTCAAACCTTACAGTATGTGTGCTCGATTCACCTGCTTTTGACTTTCAATGAGAACTCGGGGGTGCGTGAGGCGGCCTCGGTAGAAGATCCACATATTCCATTCTGTTTATTATATTCGGAGCCAATTTCTATACTATTGTCTGGTATCAAGAGCCGCCTCCGATTTCATGGGGACTCGATCGACCGAACACTCAGCATGTGTAAGGTGCACGAGTGTCTTTTCCATGGGGTGTTTGTGCGTGCTGTCAGCATCCGTTCCACAACGACAGATGGAACATCTGGTGCACGTGCGCACGTCTACAGAAGTGTCCCGGATGCTTGAAAACAAGGGTCCATGGCCTGGAGCGAGTGGATTCGTTGCATTCACATGTGCGCATGCCATGCTGCTTCCCATCGGTTGTGTGTGTGTGTGTGTGTGCGCAAGTGCAAATCCGAAGCCGCATTGCCGAAATCTGCCCATAAACACACATGGCAGCCTTGGAATGAAGATGCAGCAGGTTGTTTAGAAGATCGAGGTTCGGATTGCATGTGAGGTTCTATGTGAGCAATGCTGATATATATATATATATATATACATATATATATATATATATATATCTGTGTGTGTGTGTGTGTTGCAGCATGCAGGCCATCCCGCAACCTATCGATGCACCCCGACACAGTATATATGTAGATATCTCGAGACCCATGTAGTGCAGTCTGTGCCGAGGTCCTGGCTGAGCTTGGTGATGCGATGCTCCGCCGAGCCATCCGAGTTGCGAAAAATCGCGATGAAGCTGAACCCAAGCCTAAGAAGCGATCCCTGAGCCTGCGCGGCTCTCCTTGGATGCGCCTTGCAGCTGCTCAAGTTGGGCGAGGTGCCCCCGCAGGTACTTTTACTGATGTGGCTCGTGCAGCTGGGGAGGAGGCTGGACGCAAGAACCTTTCGTCTTCTTCAAGATGGGCAGCTGGGAGAAAGAGTGAGAAGAATGCAGGACGGGGTGTGAACCGTGCACTGAAACGCAGTGGCGATGGAGCCACTTACATGCATGATCATGAGAGTCGTGAGGCTAGGGCTAGGGCGTGGATGCTCGCATGCAGACTTTCGTGATCGTTGCACTACATCAGCTGCTCTGTGAATCATCCGAGGTTCCGGTGCAATGTTCTGTGACTTATGTGCCGGTACCGATCGTGCAGATAAGAATGGTTCGAAAGGCCGCAGCACAGCTGACGGGAGGCCGAGGTGCTCGTGGCCGTGCCCGTGGTCGTGGTGCCCGCCGTGCTCCGATGAATGTCCTGAAGAAGAAAGGGATCTTCGAGCGGTGCGTCGTATGGAAAAATTGGCCTGCCACGTCAATTTGCACAAGCCCTCCTGCACGGCGGTGCTGGGCACTTGATGTCACTTGGCACGTAGAAACAACATTCGGATCCAATTCACACGTGTGACTTCTGATGTGGATGAGTTTGTGCTACACACGCAAGGAACCTTGGTGTAGATTGGACGTCCTTTTGGGAATCGGCACGCGCAGAAATGTGGGGGCAGCAGCTCGTCAGCAAGATTACTCATATACGTTATGTGTCGTTATATCGTATAGAAGCTGTCCTGCACCTGCCTTTGTCAGGAACCATCATGCGGTTCGGACTGTTGATGATGAGTCCCGCAAGAAGGCGGTTCCGATAGGAGTTCACGGCGACGAAGGCCAGGGCAAGAAGGAGCGAAGCATGTTCATCTTATCATGGCATGCTCTGGGTGTCAGAGCACGCTCGGTGGTGTACCGGAAGTTTCCGTTCTGTGTGCCCTGGAATAAGTTTGCATGGCCGGTTTCATGAGTGTGTGCGATAGACGATGAGTTGCAAGTTGAATGTGTTTGCAAGGATAAGATTGAGGCCATACGGAGTGCCAACATGGCCTGGTCGCAATGTGGAGTGAATTTGACGCTGGAAGCATTGCAGTCAGAACTCGTCAAATCATTGACAAAGTTGGCCTTTCCCGAGACAGCAGGTTTGGATGGGCATTCACTGCATTACATCGTCGGCAAAGGCGGCTGGAAACACAAGTCCAGTTGGCTCAGTGAAACCCGTGATTATGCAAATTTACGTGAGATCCCACGCGCTGGTGCTTCGTTTTGCAGACGGTGTGCCTGCGGCACAGGTCCAAGCGGGCAGCATTGGCTCGACTTTCAGCACTTGTCCTTCAACGTTCCGGGGTCTGTGGAAGCCACACTGGACAGCAATGTTCCGCAGAGTTTGACGCTCCTTGTCGGGAACACTTGAAGCGTCCACAAACTCGAGGCTTTGGGAGTTTGCGCAGGGTTTCAGGGTTTAAAGGTTTCAGGAGTCATGTCTCAGGGTTTCGAGTGATTTCCCGAGAGATTTTGTATATACATTTGAATATATATATATATATAGAGAGAGAGAGAGAGAGAGAGAGAGAGAGAGAGGGAGGGAGTTAGGATTTGTCTCAATATACGGGCTATGTAGATTCAGGCTTCGGCAATTGCCGTCCTGGCACATGGATATGGAAGCCGCTGATGTTCTACACACAGTCTGGCTCGGGTGTGCTCGGGACTCCATAGCCAGCGTCCTCATGGATATCGTGAGCTTCGACCCCAGGTTTTCTGGGGAAGCTACCTACGACAATTCACTGGCCAGTCTGTTGACAATGTTCCATGATTGGTGCCGTGAAAAGAAGATAGACGGCTCGGCTATCGATGAACTCAGACACCCGGCATACTCGATTGATTGCAGATTCTTTGCGTGTTGGGTTGCATGTACCTGTGTCTGATACGCGTGGGTCTCTTAGGTCTTTCCAAGCTTCACATTGATGCACTCAACTTTGATTATCCGATCGCTGGATCGAAAGCTTACGGCAACAAGCTCCTGTGCTGCTGGGCGGCGCACTTCCTGTCTGACGCTTGCACATGCTCGGCAAAAGAGCGGATTTGTGCTTCCGAAACCAGCAAGCTGTGAACAGATGACATGACAAGGGCATGCATTCGATCTCTTGCATGAACGGACTCTCCTTTCCAACTCCTTCTCTCAGTATCTGTTTATGTATGTATATGAATATATGTATGTATATATAGCTTTTTGTATATCTTAGTTTGCATATAGATACGTATGTGTATAATATGTGCAGGTGTGTATGTATGTATGTGTACGTATGGAGGACGGCTGGATGGTAGATATGGATCTTTTTTCTATGTAGAAAACTATTCGTATGTATGTTGGTATGCATGTATGTGTGTAAGTTTTGTGACTTTTCATACAGTTCAGGATACTTCGGTGCTGATGCGTTTTAATCAGACGTGTGAAGAGGCCAGCTTTTTTTTCACGGAGCAGGAAGCGGGGGTGGCAGTGGAGGCGGGCCTTTTGTACAGCCGCTGCCACGTGGCGCTGGCCTCGGATGCTATTGACCGGGTAGTCCCGCGACTTAAGGTCCGGCACTCGTCTGTGAAACTCTTTGCCGCATCAGGAATGGTAGGCGACTGAATCCCAAATTTGCATCTTGTTGCTCCGAAGAAGACTTTATCGGACAAACATGCAGTATAGGGATGGCGAAGGCGCTGCACCCATCGACACTCGGGAGAAGTATCCTCGAGCGCCTGATGCTGACCTTGAATGCCGAGCTTGCAAGATGAGAAAAACGTTTGACATCCAGCGATCTGCAACAATCCTTTGCAACTTGCATTTTCCCATTCATAGCGAACCACCGACCCGACGGTCGTAACTTCCATGTTGCAGATTCAAACATTTTTTGGTCTCCCCTGCGGCTTGCAGTTTTGATGCGGCGCTCGAATTTTGAATGAAGCCAGCGCCACCATAATAGAGCGGTTATATAAAAGATCCGTCTCCATTTCCATTCTCGCTACACAGTCAATCCTGCAGAACATGCACGCGCAGATGTGGATTTCCGGGACAGAAATGTCAATTGAACACTCAAAATTTCATGTGCAAACATGCATGCATGCATAACATGCATAACATATGCACATACATATGTCATGGGTATATAATGTATAGATATGTGTGTTTGTCGGTATTTGTTATATATATATATATCACAATATATATATATATATGCTCACCCCCCCCGTTGACAGACCGCGGCGCGCATACAGTGTGTTCCTGGCAAGTGACTCTGCTGATT